CTCATATCCCCTCTTCCCATTCTGCCTATGTGACCCCAAAGATAGAGTGATCCAAGAGGGGGAGGATGAAGATACCCAGGGGTACAAGCAGGAATGGAGCCACCCAGCAACTACTTATTAACAACTCCTTGCTGGGGGGAACAATTCCCTGGAGGCAGGTAACCTCGGCAACAGGTTGCAGGAGGGGAAAGTGCTCTGGAAGTATTAGCATTTTATTTCCTCTTGAATCAGCCCCCATCTTCCTGATCCAATCCTTAATTACCTACACTGACTGTCCTTGTGCCCCAGTCTCACAAGGATGACAAATTTTGATATTAAGTGCAACAGTTTAGTTATGCACTGTCTGGACCCTCTTCACTGCTAAACTACATCCTGGCTTATCCTTTCTGCAAGCAAACATTACATTGTTCTATTTTGCTTTTTTTAAAATGTCAGATGTATTGAAGTTTAATATATACATAGTAAAATTCACCCTTTTAAATACATAATCCTCAGTTACAAACACATAGTCAAGTCACTACCATCTTATAGAATCCCTCAATGACCACAGAAAATGCCTATGCCCTTTCATAGTCAACCCTTTTCTGTATCTTTAGTCCCAGGCAAACACTGACCTGTTTTCTGTGACTAGAGTTGGACCTATCCATATTATCTTTGCTTTTGCCTTGGCAACCAGTTGCAGGAGAAGGGGTAAGGGCTTTGGAGACATTGCATTTTATTTCCTTTCCTCTTGAATCAACCCCCATCTTTCTTTCTTTCTTTTCTTTTCTTTTTTTTTAGTTGTAGATGGACACAATACCTTTATTTTATTTTTATGTGATGCGGGGGATCAAACCCAGTGCCTCACGCATTGCAGGCAAGCGCTCTATCACTGAGACACAACTCAGGCCCCAGCCCCTATCTTTTTGATCAGGCCCAATTACTTATTACCTACACTGACTAACCTTTTGCCCCTCCTCCCAGAATCATTCAGCATGTAGCCTTTTACATCTGATTTCTTTCACTTAGCCTAATGTAACTGCAATTCATCCATGTCATAGTGGTTATCTGAACTTTGTTCCTCTATATTGTGGAGTAATTTTCCATTTATGAATGTACCACCCTGATTCACCAGTGGAAGAAATATTTGAGTTGTTTCCACTTTTTAATAATTTCAAATAAAGCCACTATAATAGCTATATACAGATCTTTGTATAAGCTTTCATTTATCTCAGGTAATTATCTAGGAGTGAGCTGTTAAGTAGTATGATAATCATATACTTAACATGTTTTGAGACAATGAATTGTTTTCCAAAGTGATTGTACCATTTTGCATTCCCACCACCAGCTCATGAGAGTTCTAACTGCTCTGTATCTTTAACAGGGTTTTGGGTATGGGGGGGAGCACTTGAGTGTGTGGTAATCTTATTCATTCTAATACAGGCATTGAAGAATCTCACTGTAATTTAAATTTCCATTTTTCTAACAATTCATGACATTTAGCATATTTTCACGTACTTATTTTCCATTCGACCTCTTTTTAGTGAAATATCTATTCGATTATTTTAACCATTTATTTTCAGTTGCTTTATTACTGAGTTTTGGAGAATTTTTATATATTCTAGATCCATTCCCTTATCAGATAACGTACTTTGCAACTATTTTCTCCCAGTCTTTTTATTCTCTTAGCATCTTGGTTAGCTTGGACTCTATAAAAAAAATACCACAAACTTTGTGGCATAAACAAGATATCTCTTTCTCATAGTTCTAGAGTTTGTTTAGTCAATGATCAAGGTGCTGGTAAATTCAGTCCAAAGTGAGGACTTTCTCCTGGTTCCTGTATAGTCAACTTCTTGTTGTACCTGGAGGATTGGGGCCAGAGTAGAAGGATTCTGATCTCTTCTTATAAGGGCCCTAATCCTACAAGAGCTCCCAGTCTTATGACCTCATCTAAGTTAATTAGATGTCCCCATTAGATTAGTCCTCATTTTCAAATTATCTTATGTTAGGGGGGAGGGTTTCAATATATGAATCTGAAAGTACCACACAACTCAACCCATAGCAATTTCTCTTGAAGAGAATGAATTTTTTAAATTTTTAAAAAATGTTTTAGTTGCCAATGGATTTTTTTACTTTATTTATATGTGTTGCTGAGGATTAAACCCAGGACCTCACACATGCCAAGCAAGTGTTCTACCACTGAGCCAGAACCCAGTCCCATGAATTTTTAATTTTGATAATATCCAAGTTATCAATTTTTCTTTTAAGGATCATGCTTTTGATGTCATGCTTTTTGATATCATCTAGGCCTAACTCTAACCCAAATCGCAAAGATTTTCCTCTAGAAATTTTATACTTTTATATGTTTTTCTATCTACAATTCATTTTGTGTTAATTTTTATTTATGGTCCCAAGTACCATTTGAGGATCTTTTCATTTCTTGTGTATATGTGTGTATCCTCTGAATTTTTCATGTGAAAAAATTATTTTGACTATTTTCAACCTTTGTATATCCAAATAAATTTTCGAATCAGGCCAGTTATCAATTTCTACCATTGTGGGGAATAGGGATAGAAACAAAAAACCATCTGGTGTTTGGTTGGGATTACACTGAATGTATATAAATCAATTGGGAAATAACTGTCATCTTAACAATATTAAATCTTCTGATCCATGATCATAATATTTTTTTTAATTTAAATTTTAAGACTTAATAAGATGAACACATATCTTTTGCCAAATTTATCCTTATTTATGTTTTCTATGCTTTTATAGATGGTTTTAAAATCCAATTTTCTGATCATTCTTTGCTATATAATTGACTTTGTATATTAACTTTGAAATTTATGATCTTGCTAAACTCATTTAGTTGTTCTAGTAACTTTTTAAATGGACTTTTCAGGATACAGAATAAGCATATACTTAGAAGTACCTATGCAAATAATGAAATAATAGTTCAAAGAATAAAACTGACTGTCTCTCAAAGTAGAACTACTGATTAGAACTGTTAATGCAATTTTTGTACCCTCTGACTTTTTAAATAATGTACATGTCCATTGAGTGGAAATATAAATTTATATATTTTAAAGTAAATACTCACCATCCCAAGATTTAGTCATTTGTTTTTAATTTTAGTTATAGCTCTTTCATTCAGCAGGATTTTTCTTCATTTATATTTTATTTTTATTTGGTGCATGATGTACAAACATTTGAAATAGTGTCTTTTCCCCTCTCATATTGGTAACCAACTTGTCTTAGCACAATTTATTTTTTAAATAAATTACTTTACTCCCCCAAAACACTTATGCGTGCTCTCAAGTCATAATTTATATGGGGATGTTTCTACACAATTTGTCCTTGCCCTGGTATACTTCACTGATTTGAAACATAGTGAGAAATAAGTTCTCTGGTGTGGAGAAGGTCATTTATGGAAAAAAACAATGTACAATGGCACAGCTACTTATAAAAGCAGGCTTATAAACACTGGTTTAGAGGGATCTTATAAACATTGGGTTGGAGTAAATAAATGAGTGCTGAAAGTGTCTCCTAGATGAAGGTCTTGATGAAGTACCCCAAAAGGGAAGTGGACCTCAACTCAAGTGGTGAGGATCCTTTACATCCTTGCGAAAAGGAATTTAAAGATGGATGAATTTATTGAGAGAAAGAAAGAAGTGCACTTAGAATCAGGGTTTGGAGAACACATTAACTACTTCTTAACTGTTACAGGGCAGAGGCCCCTTTCACCCCAATTCTTTCAATCATGCCAGAAAGATTTCAGATATGTAGCTCAAAATAACACGCATGAATTTATCAGAAGGAATTACAAAGAAAAAAATGGGGGACCTTCTCAAGGGAGAGACTGGGTTTTCTCAGAGGACAGGAAAGGCATGATCCTCCTACCCTCCAGTTTTATTGGGCAGGAATCCCAGGGAAGTTTCCAGAATCCTGCCCAGGTCCACCTCTTGACTTTTGACTGATGGCAGGATGACATTAAACTTTCAAGACCCCACAGGGCATGACAACTCTAAGTCACTTTGGCCCATGCTGATTAGTTCTAATTGGAACCTGTTCTTAAAAGATTTTATGGTCAGGAGGAATTATCCTTATCTCCCTAGGTTCTGGGATCTGGTCTGTATAAGAGTCACGAAAGTCCACCCATCCCCACTTCAGGGTAACTTGTTTTCTTTTTATGGGCATTTCAGACCTCCATTTCCTCTACAGATAATAGGCAGTTTGCTGAAAAATGTAACATATCTTGCTGACTTAAGCCAGGCAGGCTTCAGGCTTTTTAAAAGTGAAAGCACGTAGGGAGTGGGGGGTCAGCACAGTGGACCCAGTTTATAAATTATTTCCTTCACCTCATGTTCCCACTACTAAATGTCTGTCCCCTATCATTAACGAGGCTTATTTACACAGGTAAGATCAGTAATACAGGGATATGCTCTAAGAGGTCGTTTTTACTTCTCCTGTGTTGGTAACTGGGCAGGTTCCCCATTACCAGGATTAGGGGAGTCATTCACAGATAAGTTGATCATATGAGGATGGGGGGGGGGGCACTTACTGACAGGCGGTCCATTATTGGGATCGGGTATTATTTCCTTTCTTGTTTTTGATGCATTCTGCTTTTTGAACACAGCATTACAATAATGTGCCTGTAGATAAGGTCCAAAAATTTATTTAATATTGCTGTTTGTAATCAAGATATGTTAAAGTGACTTAAATCTGGCCACTCCTGCGTTGTCCCCCACGTCTCCTTCTTTATGTCTTCAAGCCTACCTCAAAAAAAGAGACGGTAAGTGGCCTTAGTTTAAATTGGTGGTCCGCCGTCCTCGAAGAGGAAACACAGCTTCACAAGCTGACAACCCAGGCGAGGTAGTGACAACCTCGACACAGGCCAGAGACAGGGCGGAGAGGTTCTTGTTTTGACTCTGCCGCCAGCACTAGCTCACACAGAGATTGGAGCCCGCAGGAGCGCAGGGAGCACGTCACTTCCTGCCAGGCCAGGCCCGCCCACCTGCCCTATGACGGCCAGCGCTGAGCCGCCGAGGCGGCGGCGGCCCGGGGTGGGGGTCGGAGTGGTGGTGACGAGCTGCGAGCATCCTCGTTGCGTCCTCCTGGGGAAGAGGAAAGGGTCGTTTGGAGACGGCAGCTTTCAGCTTCCAGGGGGTCATTTGGAATTCGGGTGAGCAGCCCCCGTTTCGACCCTGGAAAACGGAACGTGCACTACACGACACGTTCGCGCCGTGCGTGCGCCGTGCGCGTTCACGTGCGTTTGTTCGCGCTGACGTCGCGTCGTTTCTCTCTGGTTTCCGGGTTCCTCTTTGCGCCCTGCAGGCGCCGGCTGCGAGGGGTCGCTGGGTTGAGGAAGGAAGGCTGACCTTGCTTGGTGGCTGCTGAGAATTGTTCTGTGAAAAGGGCTTCTTAGTGGGCATCACCGAGAGGACAGTGGGCGTTTCTAAACTTCGAGCATTCGGGTGTTGTCACCACATTTGCACGGCATCCGTGCTATTTAGACGTGCACAGGTATATTTAATATCCACTGGTTGCGTTACACTTTGAGCAAAAGAGCTAGTGAGACTCTGCCCCTCAGTTTCTTCGTCTTTAAAATGGGGACGGTGGGCGAAATGTTTTTTAACGTTCCTGTCTGCCTTGACATTCTGTGATTGTAAAATATATCAGACGGATATGTCAAGATCATGGTATTGTCATGAACAACTAATAAAAGGGAAGCGAGCATAATAAAAAAATAAACAATGAAAAAAAAAAGTATATCAGACGGACAGAGGGAGTTGGGCAATTAAGTGTTCTGTACGAAAGTGAAGAAAACATAGGTTGCAAAAAATGAATTCTGAAGTGAGAAGGTTAAAATCAAGAATAGTTAAACAGCGTCTTCTAAAGTCTCCAGATCCAGCGTGTTTTATCTTTAGTTTATTTTTGAAAATCCAGCATACATAAAGTGGAGAAAAGCGTGAATCATTAGGAACCTCCACAGAGCTTGTTCTTGTTCCATCTAACTGCTCCTCCATTGCTCACCCAAAATACGGACCTCACACATCTCCTTTTGTAGACAATGTTACGCGAAATCTCAGATGTTCCATTATATTATCCCTAAATAATTCAGTGTGATCTGCAAAATAAATTTATTTTATTTTTGGTACTAAGGCTTGAACCTGGGGTGCTTTACCACTAAGCTACATCCCCAGCCCTTTTAATTTATATACATATTTTTTATTTTGAGACAGGGTCTCTCTAAGTTGCTTAGGACTGCACTAAATTGTTGAGGGCTGGCCTGGGACTTGGAATCCTGCCTCATCCCCCAGAGTTGCTGGGATTACAGGTGTGGCCCACTGCATCTGGCTCAAAATAATTCTTTAGTATCTTCTGATAGTCTGTGTATGGTCCTCCTCGGTTTTCTTTAAAATGTCTTTTCACTGTTTTTGTACCAATCAGGATCAAATGAATCATATTGCATTATTTCTCACTCTAAAAGTAATCCTCCATCCCCTTTTGCTCATGCCATTTATTTGTTGAAGAATATGAGTTTATGTAGTTATGTCCATGTTTTTCTAGTCCACTCATATTTCTTACAAAATGATAGTTAGAAGTATAAGTCTGGGGCTGAGGTGGTGGCTCAGTGATAGAGCATACCTAGCATGTGTGAGGCACTGGGTTCTATTCTCAGCACTGCTATAAACAAATAAAATAAAGGTCCATCAACAACTAAAAAAAAAAAAAAAAGAAGTAGTAGTAGTATAGGTCTGATGCTTAATCAGAATTTGTCCTTCATAAAATATGAAATTCATGTTCTTTTAGCATATACAGTTTTTTAAATGGTCTTCAGAATTTAAAAAAAGCATTGATGTTTATCATTTTCAGATAATTAAGATAAACCATTAATACAGTTTCTTAGATTATGAACCAGTTGCTCACATAGCTACACATTGTACTTTGTTGATGTACCAAGAATTATTATCCAAATTTAGTGGGATTATCCAAATTTAGATCACAAACTAAACACAGTCTAGAATTATAATTACTGGAGTAATGGCTAGAGATAACTATCTTAACACAAGAAAGTGTAGGAGTCTCAGTTACCAGGTGATCGTAACATTGTACTTGAATGAAGCGCTAGATGGCATGCTAAGCTCCTCTCAGGTACCCTTTCACTTGATCTTTACATAACTGTATACTGAATGAGCTAACTTCATGGGGGAGCAAGTAGAAAATTGGTTTCTTTTCTCCTTCCACAGTCTTCAAACTTGAGTTATCTTTTCCTATCTCTGTTTCAGTGACTTTTCCTGTAAATTCTATTATTTATTTCATTAAAAATCATGTTTTGGTTATTATGATTTATTTCCAAGCATTTGAAAGTCCAAGCCAGTGTAAACCTTCAGTCTCACTTCTCATGTCTAATCCCTTCCTGTAATGTGGAAATAAAAGCCATTGTTTTGCTCTTTCTCCATCTCTTCCTCTCCTCACTCTGCTGTATCTGACTTTCCTTCTCCCGTGTGTTGAGGAGGAAGAAGGGGTGAACTTTTTATGTGACTAGGGCAGCTTTAATCCCTCCACTGGTGCCCTCTCTGTTGGTATCCACTATCCAAGTTCGTGCTTTCTTTCTTGGTTTGTGTTTGACAGTTGTTTGGAAATCCCACAAGGATTTTTGTCCTTGACAGGGACAACTTTTTTTTTTACACTGGTCCCCCTTCTCTAGCTCTTGCTTCTAGTACATCACCCTGCATTTTTTTCCTGCTAGGGTCTTCTGTTAGATTACCCAGCAGTCTTTTGTGACATACGCTTAGCCCAAAGGAAATATGTAATAGAAATGATGATTTTTCACTGCTGCCCCCTTTCCTTGCTAAGCTTTCACGGAATGACCTCTCTAGCCAGTCTCACCTTTGAAATTCCTGAGGCAGGAATAAGTATCAACCTCTGTATTCACATGCATATGGAAAATCTAAGGAACACATTTCAGTTTTATACAAGAATTCTTACCCTACTGTCACCCGTGCCCTGATGCACCGGGGTAGGGCTGGGTTTCTGCAGCTTATGATGTCTTTGGCAGGGACACATCAGTATCTCCTTCTTGGGAGTCATACCCAATCTCAACTGATTCTCCTGGAGAGTCTCTCATTTAGATGGTTGGAAAGAGTCTACCCCTCATTGGGAAGAGGAGAAATGTTCATATTAGGCTGAAAATTCTCAGCTTTACTCCCTCCTAAATATCTCCTGCCTTTCTTACGTAGCCTGTGTGGGATTAGGGTCAGAAAACTAGCCTTACCTTCCTTAGCAAACCTGTGAGCCTGGATGACATGCTCTTCTGCTATACTCATGAGAATTTAGAGGTGCTAGTTGCCTATTGTCCTCCATTTTGAAGCTTAAACTGAAATTCTGTGAGTGTAGGAAAAGCCATAATATACTTCCATATACATTTATAACAACCCCATGAGAAGGTAATAGTCCTCTTTTTGCTTATCCAAAGTAGCAAGTAATGGACTTTTATCCAACCAAGGTCTAGTTGACTACAGAGTCTTAACTAATACACTAAACTTCCCCCTGGTTGCACAGGCTTACTTTCAGACCTATGAATTAGTGCTGAATTGGCTAAATGTTAAATTTTTTAAAACATGAAGTCCTTCTGGTATTTAGGTAACTAAATATAAGATGTACAGAATGTTGAAGGCTGAGTTGTTGATATGTCATTTTAAAGTATAAACTAATTGCAGTTGTATTTGCTTTGTGCTAGAAATTTCTAACCAAGTATTTCGTGGTAAAGAACTTTACATAAATAGAATTGATTACAATAGTACATTTCTGTTTTCCAGTGAGACCTGGGAAGAATGTGCTCAAAGGGAAACCTGGGAAGAAGCAGCTCTTCGCCTGAAAAATGTCCACTTTGCCTCAGTGGTGAATTCTTTCATTGAGAAAGAGAATTACCATTATGTCACTATATTAATGAAAGGAGAAGTAGATTTGACTCATGGTTCAGAACCAAAGAATGTAGAACCTGAAAAAAATGAAAGTAAGAGAATTATATAGAATAATGCATTTTTCTTTGTGGAGGACGTATCATTGGAAGGAGTATTACATTCTGTTGCCATATGAAGAGGATTATATTTTCTTCATATTTGTGTTCCCCCAAAATTCATATGCTGAAATTTGTTACCCAGGTGATGCTAACAGGAGGTAGGGCCTCCTGAATGGGATTAATACCCTTATAAAAAAGACTCCAGATAGACTCCTCACCCCTTCCTCCATAGGAGGATTCAGAGAGAAGATGGTTGTCTATGAACCAGGAAATGGGCCCTTGCCAGATACCAGATCTGCCAGTGTCTTGATCTTGGACTTCCAGCCTCCAGAACTGTGAGAAAATAAATTTCTGTTGTCTGTAAGATGCGTAATCTAAAGTATTCTAAAGTAAATCTAAAGTATTCTAAAGTATTACAGCAGTCCAAACAGACTGGCTAATATAGATATGTAGAAATGCTAAAATCCTGAGGAATATAAGAAACCAGCTGGTTTGGGTTTGTGTCCTGGTTTTTTCACTTTGCACTATGACCTTGGGCAATGATTATTATTTTTAAAATTATTTAATGTCTGGGCCTCTTTTCTCATTTGCGGCAATAGTAACCCCTTTACATGGGGTATTATAAGGATTAAATGAGTTAATATACATATAAACCTAGTAAACATAATAAGCGCTCAGTAAGTGTTCATTTTTTGTGTGTGTGTTTATTTTTTTTTCCTCAGGTTGTGATTTTTAAGAAAATTTTTTTGTGTGTAGGATTTCCTCAGTTTTCTCATCTACACAGGAGAAATAATACCTTCCTTTTGCAGAGAATGATTACTCTGACAAAGCAGTTGTCTGTTACCTTCTATATTGAATTGAACACTCTGAAAGCTTTAATGACAAAAACATTGTTCTAAGGGCTTCATGTGTATCATCTCTCCACAAGAAACTAAGAAAGCCAAGCACAGTGGCTGATGCCTATAATCCCTTATACTAGGGAGACTAAGACAGGAAGATCACAAATTCAAGGCCAGCCTGGGCAGTTTAGCAAGACCATGTCTCAAAAAATAAAAAGGACTGAGGATATAGATCGGTGGTAAAGCACCCCTAGGTTCAATACCTTGTACCTTGTATCATTCAAGAAACTAAAGAAACAAATCGAAATCTTTAAATGCATGTATTTTTAATATATGGGTATATACATACACACTCCGAGAGGTCTCATGTACTGGACATCCCCTGTAAACATTTAGTTTCTCCAAAATGAAGACATGGCAGAGAAGGGGAAAGGGAAGCAGCCACATACAGAAGAGATGTGTGCAAACAAGAGTACAAGAGGCCAGAGAGTGGCCAGGCTCACTCTTTTTATAACAATATACTATAGAGAACCTATGAGAAAAGCATTAATCCCTCTTAAAAACCTAATTGCCTCCCACTAGGCCCCACCACATAAAGGTTCCATCACCTTTCAGTTTCAGCATCACTATACAGGGGACCAAGCCTCCAGCATGGGAACTTTTGTTAGATCCACTCATTCAGACCAACTATAGCAGTGGGTTTATTTGTAGTGTAATGATGCAGTCTCCTTCCCATGTTCCTCAGGTCCTGGATTTGGAGAGCCTACTTCAATTTACCATTTATTTTATCCTTCCAACAGCTGTGTGTTCATATTAGGAGAATCATTCAAACATTTTTTTAAATTTTTTTTTTGGAGTTAGACACAATACCTTTATTTCATCTATCTAACTATCTATCTATCTATTTGTTTATTTATTTGTTTGTTTATTTATTTATTTATATGTGGTGCTAAAGAAACAATTCAAACCCAAGGCCTTGCAAATGCAAGGCGAGCGCTCTACCACTGAGCCACAACTCCAGCTCCTCAAACATTTTATTTTCTTGGAGATGGGGGTAAACTCAGCACACATGCAATCTTTCACCTCACCCCACTCCAGGTTCTGAGGACTGAACTCAAAGGTGCTCTACCACTGAGTTATGTAATCAGCTCTTTTTATTTTATTCTGAGATATGGTCTCACTAAGAATTTCAGGTATGTACTACCCGCTAGCTACAGACAGCTCTCTTGAGGATCAGTTAATTCAGTATCTGTAGCACATTATTGGGCACTCATCTCCCTTTCTCTGTCTCTATTCCTCTTGATCTCTCTCTAGTAGTTAGTGTGTAGTCAATGGTGGCTAATCAACTCTTTCTGTATTTGTACCAATTTCATGGCTTCTTTGTTTCATGCCTTATTAGACTAAAAATACATAACCTGTATTCCATAGGCAGAGAAAGAAATATTTAGTAGAATAAAAAGCACTCATACAAAGGTAAAAACATGTAATCATAAAAAGTCCTATTTAGAACATGAAGTGTACATCCTAATATAATAATATTTGTATGTTCACCTTTGTCAGAATAATCATTCTCTGCAAAAGGAAGTTATTGTTTCTCCTGTGTAGATGAAAAAACTGAGTATCTGTGCTTTTGTGTTATTTATTTGTAAATCATTAAAGAAATACCATTCCCTAGAATCTTTTTCTAGGATTTCATGCATTTTAAAACTAACAAACACTGTTAGATCTTCTTAGTGGATTCTTTTAAATCAGCTCCCTTTGTGTTTGTCTTTCTATAGAAAATATTCTAAGGCACAGTATTTTTTTTCCTCTGTGCAGCTTCTGTTAGTTTTTTTTTTTTTTGGTAAGAGATGGAAGAGAACTTAAGAATACTGTAATCTACCTTATTTTATAGGGAAAGAAACTGATCTATTTTAATGTAGCATAACCTATACTATATAAAGTGTTTTGCATTTTGAGACAGATATTTGAATAAACAATGAATAAATACTAAATCAGGGTTTATCATGATGTGGTATTTGTAAACTTCCTATTCAAATAACAGTGTTTTACATGATCATTCTCTTCTTTAAAATATTCATTTTAAATGCAAATTGTATTTGTATAGTTAAGCTAATGCAGAACATCAATGTTGGAGTTTATTAATAGATCACTTTTAAGTTTAATTCATTTTTCTCTACATATAAATTAGCTTACTAACTAGGAACCATGGCACGTTCCTGTAATCCCAGTGGCTTGGGAGGCTGAGGCAGGAGGATTGCAAGTTCAAAGCCAGCCTCAGCAACTTAGTGAGACTATCTCTAAATAAAAATAAAAAGGGCTGAGGATGTGGCTCAGTGGTTGAGCAACCCTGGGCTCCATTCCTAGTACCAAAAAAAAAAAAGCTTACCAAAATAAGTACTGCTTATTCCCTGTCAGGTAAATACATTGATTTGGTCTCTTTCTTTTCTAGGTTGGGAATGGGTTCCATGGGAAGAATTTCCTCCAGTAGACCAACTTTTCTGGGCACTCCGTTGTTTAAAGAAGCAAGGCTATGATCCATTTAAAGAAGATTTGAACCATCTGGTAGGATACAAGGGAAATAATCTCTAGGTGCCAAGAAGACTCCTTGATTTTATTTTTTAAAAGACAAAAATAAGGTTTAGTTAGGGAATGTAAAATACATACATTTCAGAACAACTTCATTTTATCTAAAAATGTTCCATTTGATTGCCAGTTTATTTGCATTCTCTTAAATATCTACTATCCTTGGGAAGATCTTTCTGAAATAGGTCATTGTAGTGTATTTCAGACACAGAATGTAGGATAAATAGGGATATTGTGGTTAATCTGCTTTCCATATTTATCTGTGATATTTCCTGTGTGGTTTGTCATTACAGTTTGCATGGTATAATTACAATGGAACTTGCCTTATAAGTGTTTCAGTTCAAATTCAGATATAATTTAAATTCAAACAGTATATCTATAGCAGGATTTATTATGTTTGTTGATTTCCCTTTTTCATTAAAAAAACTTTTTTGGTACTAGATTGTGACAATTTTGTAACTAGAGAGAACAGGATAGGCCAATAAGGCATATTTCCCAGGTTTGTGATTGAGAACCTAAACTAAGAGAAGTGAGACAAACCATCTAAGATCTGTACCCTGCCATTAACATGCATGTAGTTATGAGTGTCTCACTTCCTCTGCTGAGATCCAGTAGGCTTATATGTAAAATGAGAGTACTTTAGGGCAGTGGCTCTTAAACTGTGGTCTAGGTGGGTCCTCAAGAACCTTTCAGGGTATTCAAAGCCAAAGCTATTATTATAATACTAAGATATCATTTAACTTTTTCACTCTCATTCCTTTATGAGCATACAATGGAGTCTTGCATAGGCTGCTTGATGTGTGATATGGTTACAGACTAAATGTTAAAGCAGATATAAGAATCCTGCTTTGTAATATGAAGTCAGATATTAAAGGTATTTGCAAAAATGTGTGACACTGTACTCACTAATGATTTTTTTGTTTTAGAAAAAGTTATCTTTCAAAAAATTATGTTAACATATATTAGATTTTTATTTGAAAATGATTAATAAAAATTCAAATTATTTTGTTTTAACTTCTAATATGATAAATATCTACAGATGGGGTAGATATAATAGAACAGTGTTTCAGTTGAAATAGAAATCTTACAAAACAAAACAAAAAATCCTACAAAAACAAAATCTCTGTAATTTTTAAAAGTATAATGGAGCCTTGTACAGTGGTGCATGCCTGAATCCCAGCAGCTTGAGAGGCTGAGACAGGAGGAATAAGAGTTCAAAGCCAACCTCAGCAAAAACAAGGTGCTAAGCAACTCAGTGAGACCCTGTGTCTAAATAAAATATAAAACAGGGCTAGGGATGTGGCTAATGGCCAAGTGCTTCTGAGTTCAATCCCTAGTACCACCCTACCCTGACAAAAAAAAAGTACAAATGGATTGAAAACCAAAAAATTTGAAACTTCTGGATTAGACCGTAAGATCATATCCTTTATGAACCCACTTCTTGAAATCCTGTGCTTGTCTTTTAAATTTACATTTGAATTTTGTGCTTTCAAAAGACTCTGGTATTTCTGCTACAAAGGAATCTTTTTCTAGTCTGTGAATATCATTTTTAAGTTCTTTTTTTAAATATTTTTTTTGTTATAGATGGACACAATATCTTTATTTCATTTATTTTTATGTGGTGCTGAGGATGGAACGCTGTGCCTCACGCGTGGGAGGCAAGCACTCTATCACTGAACCACAACCCCAGCCCTTAAGTTCTTTTTTAATTGTTGCTTTTTCAGAATTTTACATGTATATAATTTAACATGTATAAACCTCATTTTCTGTGAGTTGTAGCTTTACATATTTTTGATGTCAGAATGTTTGAGGAGTTCAAGTTTGATAAATGCATATTCCTCAGCTTTAGACACACTGAATTTTGCACAATGGAAAGTGTCCATTATTTTTTTCTGTTTGGGTATATTTGTTGGTATATTCTTTGTCTAGTTTGGTTTATAAATGAGAACTCCTAGAGAGAATTCTCAGATAATAAATGGCAGTGGCTAAGAGGGTACCAGGGCACGGGTGTCTAAACTTTGTGCATAAGGCCTCACATGAAGATTGCTATTCAGCTGCCAGGGAGCAGGTTCTTGAACCTGTCTTCTAACAAATACCCAGGTGATTTTGGCAAGGCTTGTGGCTACACTTTGAGAAATACGACTTTTAAGATAGCAGCCATTGTACTTTGCACAAGTCTAACTTCCTTAATATGAGGTGTGCTTTGCTAAAGGCAGCTCCAGCTTACCAAGCACAGGAAACTTTTGACACTTGTAACAAAATCACATTATAATAACTTTGATGAAATACCAACATTACTAATTACATTTCATCAAAAAGAAATCCTATTGTTACAGAGTACTCTGTGCACATAAAACTTAACAGGTTAGAATAAGACTGAGCAGAGGAAATTTGGAAAAAGTCCATTCTTTTTTTATTTTTATTTTTTTTGGTACTGGGGATTGAAGTCAGGGACACTTGACCACTGAATCACATCCCCAGCCCTATTTTGTATTTATTTAGAGACAGGGTCTCACTGAGTTGCTTACCACCTTGCTTTTCCTGAGGTTGGCTTTGAACTCCCGATTCTCCTGCCTCAGCCTCCTGAGCTGCTGGAATTACAGATATGCGCCACCATGCCTGGCTGGAAAAAAATCCATCCTTAAAGCACTTAATAGCAATGCCTGAGAGTATTTTCATACTAATGTGAAACAACTGTGTTTTCAGTGACAGCGAAATGATTAACACTCATTGTTGACTTTGTAACTATTCTATTTGACACACTTTTTTCCCTTTCAGAAATATTTCTTTTTTTCAGACTTGCTACACACAATAGAATCAAAGGCAGGATCAGGAATACTCATTTTGATAAAAGTATAATGTTCGTGAGTCTTGGACTTTTCCTTTTAAGTACTCTAGGATCAGAGGTGAATGTTTTAGCATGGGAAAAGCAGCACACCAAAAGCATGACATTTCTTGCTTTTTTTTTTTTCTCTTTTAGTTGAAGATGGACACAATACCTTTATTTTATTTTTATGTGGTGCCAGGGATCGAACCCAGTGCCTCACGCATGCTAGGCAAGCACTGCACCCACCACTGAACCACAACCCTGGCCCCTCTTGCTTTTGTTTTAAAAGTTTATGAAAACTTTTGATTACACTTCTTGAGAGACCCTTGTGATCAACTATAAAAATTTTTATCATAAAATATAATATTAATCATAGTTATTTTCTAGTTGTAATTGGACACAATACCTTTATTTATTTATTTTTGTGTGGTGCTGAGGATCGAACCCAAGGCCTTGCATGTGCTAGGCAAGAGCTCTACCGCTGAGCCACAACCCCAGCCACATAGTATATATCTATTTATTTGCTTTTGAATATTTTGCTGGTCTTTTCCATAACCCTTGGGAGGTGTATTTTTACCTTCTTTTGATAAACAAAGTTATTACAGTAACTGTTGAATTTGAAACTTGGTTCTTTTTTTTTCTTTTTTATTATACTTAAAATTATCTGGATTCATTTTATTTATTTATTTACTTATGTGCTTGTAATCTATTTTTCCTGCTGTTTCATAAATTCCAGGAAGGCCGGCTTACTCTTATTCAGTGCCGTATCCTCAGCATGTAATGAAGTGCCTAGAGCATAAGAGGTGCTCAAATTTACAGTAAATGAATGAATGATTGAATGGCACCTCTGAAGGCACTAAGCTACATCAGGTATGGCAAATATTCTTTCTCACTGACTGCCCCCAGAATCAGCCTAGGAAGCCTTTTCATTGGGAAAGGATACATAATTGAAACCTGTTCCATATCCCTGAAGTGCACGACCTCAAAGATCTCTAATGCTAATATTCTTTGATTCCATGAAACAGAAGATATTATAGTTTGGATTGGAAATTTCCCCCAGAGTTCGTATGGTCCCTTGTGCAGCAAGGTTCAGAGGCAGGGCTTTTAGGCCATGATTATATCGTGAGGTTGCTGGCCTCATTGGTGGACTACTGGGAGGAGGGACCTAGTTGAAGGAAGTAGGTCATTGTGTGTGGGTGTACCCTGGAAGAGTCCATCTTCTCCCCAGCCCCTTCTTTTCTCTCTGCTTCCTGGCTGCCATGAGCTGAGCAGCTTCCCTCCCAAATGCCTTCTGTCATGATGTTTCTGCCTTGGTGTAGCTGTCCATGGACCAAATCCTCTGAAATCATGAGCCAAAATAAACTTTTCCTTCTCTAAGCTGTTCTTGTCAGGTATTTTGGTTACAGTGACAAAAAGCTGACTATCAAAAGGTAAGGTAGCTAAGATATTTAAAAGGGAGATTCAAACAAAAGATTTAGGAAAAGTATGCCTCTTTTACAAGAACCGATCTTGTAACAACCACTTTCCTTTAAAAGATCCTGAGATCAGTTGTTTATACAAGGGAACTCAACATGCAAATATACATATAATAAAGGGAAATGTAAAATTTTAAAAAACATGTCCAGGGGCTGGGGTTGTGGTTCAGTGGTAGAGCATTCGCCTAGCACATGCGAGGCCCTGGGTTAGATCGTCAGCACCACATAAAAATAAATAAATAAAGGTATTGTGTCCAACTACAACTAAAAAATAAATATTAAAAAAAAATATGTCCAGGTACATTGGCACACACTAAATCCCAGCAACTCAGGAGACTGGGGCAAAAGAATCACAAGTTTAAAGCCAGCCTAAGCAACTTAGCAAGACCCTAACTAAAAATAAAAAGAACTGGGGTATAGCTCAGTGCTAAAGCACCCCTGGGTTCAACCCCCAAAAATAAAAACCAAATATTTCAGTAAGTTAAACATTCTTTAAACATTTAGTAATTTATATAGGCTCTTAACTTGTGTTATGTGCTGAATGAACTGTGTCTCACCAAAGTTCACATGTTGAAAACCTAACCCCCAATATTTGAGAATGTGATTATATTTGGAGGTAAGATATTGAAAGAGGTGATTAAGTTTAAAATGAGGCCGTTAGGATGGGCTCTCTTCCATTCTGACTTTTGTCCTTATCAAAAATAAATCTGAACACATACAAGAGAGTCCAGATGTATGTGTGTAGATAAAAGACCTATATGAAGGTGCAGCGAGATGGCAGCCACCTGCAAGCTAAGGAGACAGGCCCCAGATGAAACCAACCCTGCTGACACTTTGATCTTGGACTTCTGATCTTCAAAATTGTGAGAAAATAAACTTCTGTTGCTTAAGCCACCCAGTCTGTTGTATTTTGTCATGCATCCTTTGCAAACTAATACAGGTAGCCCAAATCTTGCAGCTCTGTTCCAAGTATTATGATAGAATTAAAAAACATTCCTTCCATGTCTGCAATCCTGAATTGGAGTTTTGGCAACATCAAAGCTTTGAGAAGAGTTCAAATTTTTCCATTCCCTGGCATTTAAACACAGGGCATGGGAGGAATTTTTGCTATGGAGTTAAAAGAAAACTTTACACATACCAGAAATAGAAAATAATACAGTGAACCCCCACATACCTATAACCCATTCAACAAGTACCAACATTTGCCTTATTTACTTCATCTGTCACCTTTCCATCCCTTTTTTCTTATAGTACTGACTTTCTTAATATTTTATTGACTGTATAATGAAATGGTGAAATTTATGTATTATAAATTAAAGCTAATTTGTATTGGTAAATACAAAGTAAACAAATTGAACTGAGATAAAATATTTATGCTCTCAGAATTTCAAACCAGAATACTTTTTTTATGGCATACTAAATTGACCAATCTAGAAACAAGTTTTTGCAGACTTGTTTTCAATTCTTAGACATATACCTAAAAGTGGAATTTCTGGGCCATACCATTTAACTGTGTTTAACTTTTGAGGAATAAACAAACGTTTACCAAAGTGACTGCCCCATTTTATACCAGCAGCCTAAGCCTTTTTTTT